TCCACGCTTTATCTTCACGATGTCACCACCCACGAGCCCCTCGCCGAGCAGCCACGAGTCCCACTTACAAATCAGTGGCGTGTCAGTGGTGTGGCGTGTCAGTGGCTCTGGAGGATAATCACAAAAAAAGGTTGTCGAGGCGCGGGGGGTCAGACCTAAGTTGGTTATGACGTGCTTTCGCCATCGACTGGGGCTTCATCCACGGGGAACGTCAGAGACGACGGCCATCCTGTAGTAGGAGGCCCCCCCCCCCCCCCATGCATCTGTGCGGCCAGGCCAGTTTTCTCTGATATTGGCGCCCAAAGTATGGTAGTCTTCCGAATCTCTACAAAAAACTTTTGTGCTGCCAGATCCTCCTTGCCACCAACGGACTCCACGCCTGCGCTATCACGGCCGTGCCTGAATCAACTGTAACGGGTCACTCACTCCTGCTCATGTTTTTTATTGCTACTGGCGTCTTCTCAATGGTCGTCTAATAGGCTGTTGAGTCGTGTAACTACTCAGCCACGCGCCTCCATGGCGACCGAACGGCCACGCAGCAAAGATAGTGGGAAGAGGCTTATCTTTTTCAACTCCACTGGCCCACCCAGCACCGTTGCATGGACCAGCGACCTCTTCTCAAAAAGTGTTTTTTGAGTGTGCGACCGGGATTTGTTCGTCGGAATGGCACCCCGTTCGTTGTATGGCATTCCGTTCGGCCCTAGGGTCACAACCAGCTCGTTGGCATTCCGTTCGTTGTGTCGTCGAATGGGCGGACATGATTCTCTAGCATTAAAAAATGCGGAATTGTTCGGTGCCTTTAACCTCCAGGAGTAGTCAGTTAGCAGTGTTGTCAGTGCAGAAGTTGTTGGTGCCATTCGATTGGTCGTCGTGGCCGGGTGATACTGAGGTGTGGCTGGCGTCAATACGTCCGACACGTGCGTGCTCGAAAAAGGGTAGACCGGTTGTTCGGTTTGCGGTCGATACGGTAGATGGTGTCCGTTCTCATGGTCGACCATGTGGAATACGGTCGTATGAGATTATGCAAGGATGTACCTTTAAGACTCCCCCCATGCCTTTGTCTGATGTGGGTCTCGCTCCGTTTGAAAGTCTCGAACACATGTCCTGGGCCCGGGCGTCCTGGTACATTTATGAGACGGATCTCGGCAACACATTCGCACCTTTTAACGCAGACCCTCTAGACCCCGCCACGGCAGACAAATCACTTAAAGGAAATTTCACCACATGCTTCAGCCCCAACGACGTCCTCTTCGCCGTCCAACCCGTTTCCGAAGAACAAGCTCTCCTTGGGCAACTCCGGCACTCCCGAACGAAACCGACTCAACTAACTCTCATGAAAAGAGACAAACCTACTCAGCACACGACGTGGGCGGACGTGGTTAGGGAGAAACCACCCACTCAGCCAACGACGCGGGAAAAAAAGACCACTGAAAGACACCAGTTCGCAAACCACCAGCCGCCAGCGTGGCAGCAGCAGGCGGTAGAACAAGACTTTGTGTCAGGGCCGACGGATGTGCCACCCAGCTGGAGTACGGTGTACGCGGCGGTGCCTACGGTTGCTGAGATGGAAGACCAGTCGGGTGTGGTAGCTGGGCCTTCCGTAATCATTCCCCTCGAAATTAATTTCTGGTCTTGAGATTAATTTCTGCCGGTCTTGAGATTAATTTCTGCCGGCCGGCCGGACTGAAGGCCGCTCTAGCCACACTCCGAGCAAGTGAATTTTTTAACGAACAAACAGCCGCGCTGCGACACGCCGCGCTGCGACACGCCGTGAACAAACGCCCGTGGACAAACGTCCGACCGAACACGCCCGTGGCGCGGGGGGGGAAAAAAATGTTTGGTTGTCAGCCGACGAGTGTACCGCGGCGAGTGTGTGCGACGGAGTGGTTGGTGTGGCGCGCGTTGCAGAAGGTGTTGGTAGCGTGGGACGTGATGGAGTTGCCGTTGGACACGGAGGTGGCGTTGGCGAAGATAGGTGACGTGTGGACTTGTTTCGATCCTAAGTACAAGAAACAACTGTTGGCTACGACGTCGATACCTGTGGATAAGCTACGATGTGGAAACGTTGTGGTTGAGCCGGAAAAGGTATGTGGGCAAGTTGAGTATACGCCCCACTATCCCCAACGAGTCCCGGTCGAGAGCTTTACTACAGACTCACAACAACGTCTACGTTGGTATGCACTCCAAAGACAAGACTTCGCCACCGAGCTCTTTCGCCTACGCGGGCCAGAACCCCACACCACCGACCGACTGCTCGAAGGCCACTTCACCAACGCCTGCGGCCCAGACGCGATCCTCCTCCAACTCTGCTTGCAACACAAGACCCGGGCCAGCACGAAGCAGCGACCGGAAGCCAGGGCCAGCACGAAGCAGCGATCCGAAACCAGGGCCAGCACGAAGCAGCGACCGGAAGCCAGGGCCAGCACGAAGCAGCGATCCGAAACCAGGACCAGCACGAAGCAGCAACCCGAAGCCAGGACCAGCACGAAGCAGCGACCGGAAGCCCGGGCCTACACGAAGCAGCAACCGAAGCCAGGACTGCCACGGAGTCACTCAAACTCGAGACCCAACATTTCCTCCGACCGTCCCGGGGTTTCCCGTCCCCAGGTGAAGGCGTCCCGTCGCCGGGCTATCCGTCCCGGCGCCTCCCGCCTTCTGGCTATGCGTCCCAGGCCTTCCCATCGCCGGGCTATCCGTCCCAGGGCCTCCCGCCTGCGGCCTATCCGTCCCAGCTCCTCCCGCCTCCGGGTTATCCG